AAATAAGACTTTAATAAACATTGTTGGTCTTAGGGAGTGAATAGGTAAGTTTTACATGCAATTTCATGTCCAAAATAGGGCACTCTGTAACACCCCCAACCCGTACCCGACCCGGATACGAATTTGATGTGTCATATTGACTTTTCAAAAAATTTACTCTTACAAAATCATGAAAAAAAAATTAAACTTTCATTAAATAAAGTGAACTAATTTACATAAATATAATCAAAATTGATCAGATCATATGTGATTTAAACTTGATTACATGCCAACATAATTAATACAATAAAATGACAAACTATTTGAATCACTTCTGATCTTCTATAAAAGTTATGTTGCCTTGTTGGATCCTAAATATGATCTTCCTACTTTTTGGTACCTACGTGTGAAACAGTCACAGACTTAGTGAGACATATAATACAATAATGAAATATCTAAGTCATGAACATGCAATTCAATCATTTCAGCATGTAATCACAATCATCATATAACTACTCAACAATAACATATATAATCATGCATTTAACGAAAAACACATGTCATCTTATCATAAAGTTAATTCTTATTATATATTTTATGTGATCATGTACATTACTGAGAACTTACGGTATTATAGTACATTGAGGTTGTGCACATATGCTGTCACCACAGCTCATATAAATTTGTATTGAGTGATATATAAAATTGTCCCAAATAACCTCATATATGTCCCGAAAGACCACATATATGTCTCTAAGGACCATATATATGTTCCAAAGGACCACATACATGTCCTGAAAGACCTCATATATGTTCCAAAGGATCACATATATGTCCCGAAGGACCACATAGAACCCTCGACTTTTGGTATGCATATTATACCCACAACTCTCATATCACATAACATGGGCTTGAACATTTATATATTTCACGTGTTCATATAGTCAACTAATTCATCACGTATATATGTACTCATATAACTCATATCATTTCTCATATAATCATATATGTTCTATCTCATAATATATATAATATGTGCATATAATCATTTATCTCATATCATATAGCTTATGTTTTTTGTTTATGTTCACATGGATCACATAGCATATATCAAAACATATAAACATATATTACTTATGGATGTACTCATAATGATCATAACATATGCATGTTCATAACTATTAAACCATGAAATTTAAACATAAGAAATAGATTTATCACAAGTTTTGTTTCCATAAAATATATATACTATAGTATGCACTCACCTTAGCTTCACTTAGTCCAATTCAACTCCTATAAATCGTTATTTCTTGATCGATCGATCTTAACTCTTTGACTGTTCCAGAACTTGCTTATGTTCGATATCTACACCAATGTACATATGATACGAATATTAGAATTCTAAACCTTATGAATCAATCATCAATAATCTAAGCTAAAAGAAATACCTAATTCATATTTTCACTTTGAGTAGTATCGGTACCCAAGGTATGGTACCAATACTTCCTTTATTGCGGTATCGATACCATGCTTTGGTATTGAAACCCTTTCCCAATTCTGGAATTCTATTTCAAAAATGGTATTGATACTCGCTTAATGGTATCGGTACCCTTGGTATCGTTACTACCCCTTAGGTATAGATGCTCCTCGAGTATCTTATCATCTTTTAGCATACAATATCGATACCCTACTCCAAATATCTCCCATTTCACTTTGAAGTATCAGTACCAGATGAATCAACACCGATACTCCTTGCCCAAAAGTCACTCATTTAACCCGAAAATTTACAAGTACTTATTTAAACCTTCCATTTTGAACTCTCTTCTTGCCACTAAACTTAACTACACTTACTTAAATCATTTTATATCCATATAAAACATTATTATCTTCAATATCTCATCCAAATTCTTGAAACCAAGAATCTTACTAAATTTCCAACATATTCTAATTTCATTTCTAACACTTTATACTTCTTATTCTAACTGATGACAAGTAAATTTTATCTAAAATTTCACTTACTAACTCATTTCCACAATTTCACTTAACCACCTCTTATATTAAATCCTTCCTAACTCCTTCATCTTTTGGTTTTAAGAAATCTTAAGCTTTCCTTAGGCTTAAGTATTATCTAAAGAACATAAATCAAGCTTAAATTTAATAAATAATCAACAAACATAACACTTACCTTCTCTAAATGGGGTTCACGATTGAAGGAGGAAGAAAACTCGTGAAATCTTGATTTTTAGCTTCCCCAATCTCCACGTGGTTATTATATAACCATAACAAGTTAGTAATTATCTTACTTGTCAAATGACCATTTTGCCCTTCTATTCCTCCTTTGCTATTCAATCCTACATAAAATATTTCACTTAAGTCCTTGAACTTTTCAATTTATCTAATTTAGTCACTAAATTCTAAAATTTTACAATTTGTTCACTAACCCAGTGTTTGGGATGTTACACACTCAGTACCGATATTGTTCTTCAAAAAGCAAAAACAAGGCAAATTTGAGGGGAAGTATCGATACTATACCCAAGGGGAGTATCGATACCGATGACAAGTTTCAGATTCTAGTAGCCATTTTTGGTATCGATACTCATAGGAGTATTGATACCAAAGGTAGAGTATTAATACTCCCCACGGGAATATCGATACCAAGGCACTTTACAAAACATCGAAGCTATTTTTGGTATCGATACTCAAGGGTCAGTATTGATACTGCTGACATAATATCAATATCATCGCTAATTTTGGGGAAATTTTGTTCAATTGATTTGGAGGTTTGGGCTTGGGTGTTTTGAGTTCGTACAAGCTTCAAGTATACGACACAAGTTAAAACCATCAAGTTAACTAAATTCTCACCTAGAAATCAAGCAAGTTAGGATGACATAAGATTTGCCTTTGTATGATGCTCGGGAAACGGTTAGGATACCCAAGTTACTCTAGCATTATGATGATCATCCTTTGTTGTGAATATCTTGATATTATCTATGTGGTACGCATCCAATGCACGTAAAATTTTGGATCATATCGGTATAAAATCTGATGCATGTAAAATTTTGGATCGTACCTTATGCTAAAAAAAGTTTGAGATATGAGCTTTCAATACACGTAAAATTTCGGTCCTCACCTGACCTCTCGAGTATCCGAGATAGACTATGGGCTTTAAGTTCCAATGCACGTATAAATTCGGTTCTTACCCCGAAGCTCTCACGCTTTAAATAGGTTGGTATGTTATATCTTATGGATATCTATATGATTTGCTTGTTTAGGTCCTTACACACCATCATGTTCATGTAATGAATGTATGTAGTATTGCCTAGTTATTTTCATGGCACTAAGCTTGTGAGCACAGCGTATGGAATTTGTTTCCATGCACAGCTCAGTAGGGGATCGTTGAATAGCCTATCGCATCAGTATATTTTAGACCAGATGTTGCAGAGTATGACTTGAGTATATTTTAGAGGGCATGTATTTTGTATGGACTTTGTATTATTCAAGTCATAACTCTATTTTGAATAAATTCTATGGTTGTATTGTATGTATTTGAGAGACTCCCATATTTTGTAAACTTTGATTTCAATTTCGTTGATATTATGATGAATGATTTTGATGTTATAAATGTTTTTGAAAAGAAATTTTTGGGTTGACCATTTCGGTGGTCCCGTGTAGCATCTTAATCCATGGATCTTCGGGTCAGACTGGATTAGGGTGTTACAGAAAATTAGAAGTTGTATCTTGTACTTAAAGATACCACGTATGATATCATGTATTATTGTTGTATGAAGTTGGAGTTCGTTGGTTTTCCATGTCGTCATATGTTTACCATGTTGAAATATAAAAAGGAAAAAGAGATACCTCAAGGATGTATAATGAAACAATAGACTATTTATGCGAAAAAATATGTTGGATTACAAAATAGGAATACAGATGTTGAAGATAATAATCCAACAACAGTTCAAGCCAAGTATTCCACTCTAGCATCTTATTGTATGACTATATGTCAACGTGTATCACAAACATTCAAAACTTTTAATGAGGTTAAAGATCAATTTGTAAAATTGAGTCTCAACTTACGAACGATGAAAGTGAGATGTAAAAAGAGAACCAGTCCAAGTGGAGAGACTATTAGAATTGGCAATTACTATAACAAAACATGTTTTTAGCGACGTTTTTAAGCGTTGTAGCGGTGTTTTCAAGTGCATTTAAAAATATTCTAGCGCAAGTAAAAACGCCGCTAAAACTAATGCCGCAACTGTTAGCAGCGTTTGTGAAGAGAAAATACCACAAAAGCTTAAACTCTATAGCGATTTTTTCTTACAAAAGCCTTGAAAGGTCAAGCTCTATAGTGGTTTTTTTACAAACGTCGCAAAAGGTCAAGCTCTATAGCAACATTTTTTATAAACACCACTAATTACTTTATCTTTAGTGACGTCTATTTAGTCAAACGTCACTATATGTTATGATATTAGTGATGTTTTTCTTTACGAATCCCACAAATATTTACTCCATTAATGGCATTTCCAACACAAAACACCTTAAAAGAACCTGACTTCTGGTGGCACAAACGTCGCTATGGTTAACTGATTTCGTAAATATCATTTTTTAGGCATAATGCAATAAAATAACCCTAACGTTTGATAATATTGTCAAATTTACCCTCACTATTTTTTTGGATTATTTGACCCCTTAATGTTTCATTTTGGGTTAAAAAACATCCTCGTTGGATGAAAATTGTTATTCAACTAACGATCAATGCATAGAAATGACATGACAAGCTTACATGACATGGCAATGCCACATATACAAAAGGTGATGAAGTGGTAAATGTCACGTCAGTAAAAATTATTATTTTTTAAATAATTATCAACCAATGTAATGATGACACGTGTTATCTTTTCATTGGTTTAAATATGAAATTGTAAAATTTGTTTTTGGTGGGTATTGAACCCAAGTTACATAGATTAAAGCCTTTTCACGCTACCACTAGGCAAAGCCTATGTATTGTGTTTCTCACACATTTATCCCAACATCAAACACTCGTCGTTCTCCTCTACGTCGTGAATCGTTTCAGCTAATTGAGCTAACTTCCAACCAACTTCCTGCAGATGATCAGAGTCTCGTGACCGGGAGGTCCGATCGCCGGCAGACCACCGACTCTCAAAGCTAAAGCTTGCATCAAAGTAGGCCATTGCATGTCTTAGTTTATTGAGAAACCGATAACATGGACTCTTTTCTTACCTTCAAAAGCTTTGAGAATTGCTTGGTTGGCCGTGAAATGAGCGAATTTTAGACAAGGGCAGACCTCGCAAAAGTGCATGTGAAGAGCATCCGATAAAGAGTTGTCGAGTGGGTTTTGAGGGTATAATCTGTAAATCTTCCGGCTTCGACGAAATACATTGCTGCTTTTCTCATGGCTCTGGTTTGAGAAATCGCCAAGAACCCAATTTGTCTAACTAGGGCTTCGGTGAGATTGAGGTTGTTTTGTTGTACAACTTCTGCACACACCATTAAAGCATGGACGAGCCGAATTCCATTCTCTTGCAAGTCGACGAGGCAGAGTTCTATACAAACCAGCAGTAGCCTGAGAAGGAAGAGGGAAGATAACCGAGTTCAACCAGGTTGTAAATTTCAAACGTTTTTCCGATTTAATATTGTTGTTAGTCGAAGAAGAAGATGAATAAATAGCCTTAACGGGAATTGCTTTGAGAACATAATTCAAGTAGAAATCTTCCTCAAAGATTTGTTTCCACTTCTCCGATGTTTACTGTTGTCGTTCTCGAAAAAAAAAACTGAATATTCTATACATACATGATGAAATGTGTTGAAAATTATAATGAAGAAGGTGTTGATGAAATGCGAGAGAGACACAATACATGGGATAAATATTAAATCTTGCAAGAGATAACCAAGTCCCAAACTTAGCGTGAAAAGGCTTTAATATATATAACTTGGGTTTAATACCCACCAAAAACAAATTTTGCAATTTCATATTTGAGCCAATGAAAAGATGACATGTGTAATCATTGTATTGATTAATAATTATTAAAAAATTAATATAATTATTTTTAAAAAAATTAATTCTTGCTGACGTGGCTGATATGGCATTTACCACGTCATCACCTTTGTATATGTGGCATTGCTACATCAACATGCGATGCTATGAAACTTGTCATGTCATCTCCATGAGTTGACCGTTAATTGACTAACGATTTTCATCTAACGAGGATATCTTTTGACTTAAAATAAAACATTAAGGGGTCAAATATTCCAAAAAAATAATGAGAGTAAATTTAACAATATTGTCACGTGTTAGGGATATTTTGTTGCATTATGCCCATTTTCTACTTTATATTACCCAAATTTAATATTATGTAGTATTATCTAATAAATAAACTTAAAGTTTTAATTACTATACAAATTATGTAGAAAAACAAATCAAAAATTATAAAATTAAAATGAAATGTAACATAATTCAAAATTGTTCACCAGAATAAAAAAAAAACATTATTCTAGTGGCAATTTTGAGCACTGATATGCAACTTCAGTTGATTCTTTTCATCAAGAACGTACCTTCAATTCAAACACCAATGAAAACAATGGATTCAGGGACAATATATTACAAGGAGATAAGCGGGAAGAAAAAGCATAATAAAATATTTACTCGTATACATGGGCAAGGCAATATCCTTTTCCCCCTCACTAATAATGAATCTATAGCATTATTTCAGCGCATCATATGGAAAAAAACTAGAAGAGAAAGCAGAATTAGATGCATGAATGTATGCATGGCAATTTGCAAAATATTTGCTATTATAATTGATATCAGACCAGCTTTTGATTCAATTACATGCATATCGAGAATGTAACCTTGTAGTGTTGAACTTGTATGGAAGTAAAAGTATCAATCTGGTTTCAATTCCATTACCTATGGATCGAGGGTGTAATTTTGTCAATTAAGCTTAATATGTCAGAAAATTTACCTGCATATATTATAAGAAAAGAGCAAAAACTTTCATTATTATGAATTTAACAAGTCTAACCTTCAATGCGTCGCTCTCTTAAAGCAAGCAAACCAGTCTCAGTACATTGCCTTTATATCAGCTCCAGAAAACTCATCTTTAGTCAATCACAAATTCTTCCAAGTTCACATCATTAGCCAGCGTCATCTTTGATGTGTGTATCTGTAGTCCAAAGATTTGAAAGAGCAAAACTTTATGAGTACAAGAGAATAATGAAACATGTTTGATATAGAGAATCAACACTCTCATGAAATAATCACATACCTGGAAAATGCGACTCCTTGTTCTGATGTCGGGCAGGGGGAATTCAATCTTCCTATCAATTCGACCCGGACGAAGCAAAGCTGGATCAAGACTTTCAATTCTATTTGTGGCAAGAATCACTTTGACATCTCCTCTTGAATCGAAGCCATATAATTGGTTCAGCAACTCCAACATGGTCCTCTGAATTTCACGTTCACCACCAGAATGGGCATCATACCTGTATTGCAGATTAATGAGACAGATTCCAAGTGTATATCCATCAAGGTATAACTTTTTCACCGACTTACCTCTTTTAGTTCTTGATTGGAGTAAAATGAATTAACAATTGCAGTAGAATAGAATGAATTAAAATATTAACTAACAATCGTTCCTTGGCATTTGCATGAGTATCAAAAATTATAGAATCATACATTCCAAATATATATATATATGGATGAACTAACATTTCGTTCATCTTTAGTAAACTATATACAAAAAAACAATTATGCTGTTGGTAAATTATGACACGGTAAGTACATTAAATAAAAAACTACAAGTTAATTTGGGTCCTGTTAATCATCTAATTTCCGCATTTAAACTACAAAAATAGATCTGATATAACACAAAAGAAAATAATCATTTGAAAAAAAATGGATCAAATCAGAATCATTATATGAAAGATGTAATCTCTTGGATTTATCAGATAAAGAAATGAACTGACCGTCGGACAACCGAATCCCCAAAAGCGATGACGACCGGAACTTCTAGATTCAACGGTAGCTTTATCAAAACTGAGTATATCTGGGCAATTCTATACTTCGTCGAAATTCAAAAACTCATACCAAAATTTAAATGATTTCGTTCATCAAGGTAATCTCTCACGACCTTCCTGGACCCAACTTTACACCGCTCGGTAAACCGGAAAACTGGTTATCTTGGAGCGCCTTCAGTCTCTCTCCTATAGGAAGTGAATCTTCCATTGCAAGTGAAAAAGTACAAGAAAGGGAGTGAGAGCGGCAGAAACCTAAAAATGAAAAAGTGGATATGGGAGATATCAAAACTTGCCGGAAGTTATGCCGTTAGGCAGCTTTAATATATAGATGAGTAAATATATTACCGAAATTATTATTATTTTTTAAATATTTTTAGTACAAAATTTCTTAAAGTATTATTATTTTTATCAAAAATATTATTATTGGTACTTTATTAGATTTGTTAATATATTTGGTAAAGAGTTATACAAAACAGAAATATTATTTTTGGACGTTTTATCGAATTTATTAACATACTCGGTAAAGTGTTATTTAAAATATTATTTTTTTAACGAAAATATTAGTATTGAACACTTTAGAGGAGATATTAAAAATATTAATATTTTAAGTAAAAAAATATTTTTTATGTAATTTTTTATTAAAAATATTAAAAAAATAATAACATTTTTGATACCATATTTTCTTAATCGTATATTTCACTGTTGCACTTAAACTCCCCCAAACTCGCCGCGTTTAGAAAACAAACCCACTAAAGTACAGAAAAATTTATGGCTTTTATTTTTTTAAAAATAAAGTTATGGTAAAAGACTAAAAAATTGTGGAGTTTATAATTAAAAACACTATTGATAAATTACGGCATTTGATAAAAAGTGCCACTATAAATTATATTTATAACGGCATTTGACTAAAAAAATACCATTAAAGTAGGAGGTTTTTAATAGCGTTTTAATAAAAACGTTGCTAATATTATTATTTGTGAAGTTTTGGATGTAAACATCGTTATATGTGTAAAGTTGGCGGCGTTTAGTCTCAAAATATCATTACAAACTTATTTTGTCGTAATAGACCATATAGTTCTTGAAACTGAAAGAGGAAAACCTAAGATATCTCTACAAGAACTAAGATTTTAGTAAACTTTCATCACAGAAAGTATGTTATTTATGATAAAAATTATTTTTGTCACTTTTGAATTGAGTAATTGTGACTTTTATGATTATAAATATAAAATAAATGAGAAATAATTTTTTTGAAAATAATTGAAAACAAATAGTTAAGATTTATATTATAAATTTATTTTATGATTTATGTTGTTTTTGTGACTTTGGATTCTCTAATGAATTTTTAATATAATTTTATTTTGTAATATAATTCATATAAATTAATTTAATTTAAAAATATAAAAACATTAAACTCATTTTTATTTATAAGTCTTGTATTACATATAATTATATATGAGTATGCAAAGTATCATTTATTTATTAGATTTGTTTCAACAATTTAATATTGTGTAAAATAATACAAAACACAATATATATATATATATATATAAGAGTTTGCAATATTATAACATATGGAGTAGTCAGTCCAGTAGTTAAGGCTTACCTAGGTCACTAATGGTCCTTTGTTCAAAACTCCTGGTAATGCATTTTTGCAATTTCTCTATAAATTAATTAAAATATAATTCTCTATAGTGACACATACTATTTTAAAATGTGTCATAATAATATGTTGACGTGTGGTACTTTGGATTGGAGAATTAATTATTTTAAATTAAATTAAAATTAGGACTAAATTTATAGAATGCGTAAGTATTGAAGACCAAATGAATAATTATGTCATTTATATTAACGGACACATCACCATCGCTATTAAAATTTAACAGAGAATGACTTGAATAAACCATTTAAATAATTGAATAATCTGTTTGATTAAATTGAAACATCGATAATGAAAGTAATTTTTTACTATAGTGTAGTGTAATTTACCCTAAAAATTTTCAGTACTTCCCTAAAGGGAGATTTATCTCTTGAAGGAACACCTTGAGTATCACAGAACGTGTGTGAAGTGAGTGGTGAGGTTTGGACTGATGCCCTGATGCATAAAGAATATAAACATTTTATAGAGTTTAATACCACTTGAAACCATTTGAAGTGATGATAAGACTATATATATATATATGCAAATGCAACATTGTTCTATAATACATGATATAATATAAAGTTCTTCAAGTCATCACAATAATCATAATACCAAATGCTATGTTTACATAAAAATATTAATCCCCCGCCACATCCCAAAATAAGGGTAAAAAGGGTGGCATGACAACAAAACTATGTCGTGTTAAATTCAGTGCTGTATCAACTCTGGAATCAGCTTTAAAAGAAACGACAGCTCCTGCTGTGAGAACTGCACCGCTTTAAAAGAAACGACAGCTCCTGCTGTGAGAACTGCACCTTCGACTTCCCCTTGTTCTGCTCCTCATTCCCTCCTTTAAAACTCTCGTTTAATGGCTTAACTATCATGTCGTCAACAGCGTGCGATATCTCTTGAACAAAATCAACTATCACCCCATCGATCCCCATTAAATGTTGCATGCAAACAGCCTCCGGCACATTGCTGCAAACATCACAATTTTTTGAGACGGATACAAGATTTTATGTTAAGATGGTCCAACTTATAGTATTTTAGAGGTTGAACTTAAGATGGTACGATCTGCATACTTACTTGAGTTTTCCATACGTGAGGAGGGAGAGGTTAGCCTCTTTGATCTTGGGGACTGCTCCTGGATTTCTGAACACTCCTTTGATCTCAGAAACAATCCCTTGTAAACCACCTTCTAAACAGACCTTTATGGCCTCCTCCAGTGAATTTCTTCTGACATCATAGTAAACTTGTGTCCCACCATTTGTCAAGAAGAAAACCTGTTCATTTTCCAACGAAAAACAGTCTTTTAAGAACAAGATTCACAAACATGTTTAATTATAATGCCTGAAAATTGTATTAGCTTAAGTGCTTACAGGATACGTGTTCTGCAATTTCCTAACAAGCTGAGCAGCATCAGGGTGAAAGCTAGAGAAGATTATAGGCCTGTCTTTAGCATATTCAGATACCACCTGTGACAAAATTATAGAGAAATCATATTTTTTTTCAAGTATTATAGGAAAAAAATAAGTTTCACTCCATTGATTTTTACCTGCAGAATGACTTGAAGAACACGGGTGAGACGGTCATGGTGGTAAACAATATTGTCATCAAATTTCAACTCAATGTTAAACCCTAACGAAGAATCAACTTTCCGGAAAGCTTCAGCAAGTGTACAGAATGAATCATCAGTTTGAACATTCCAGTTAAGGATTTTCCCATCTCTTGATTTCCTCAACAAGCTTTTCCCCTGTTTCCCTGCCTCCCTCTGGGGTCCAAAGCAAAGAAATTCTTCCAAACTCATGTCTGTGATCCTCTTTTCATACACAGTTCCCTGTAGAATATCATGTAAATAAAAATTTAACCTTGATAATTACTCAATAAAAGATAACAACAAACAAAATGGAGAGCAACGTACATTTTCTTGAGAGAAAAGGAAGTCGTCGTGGAAAATGACAGGGCAGTCATCTTTCGTCACCTACAAAAAACCACAATGGCTTTCTTTACTTTCCTGTGATTGGCTCAGGGCCAGTTTTTCATCACCTCCATAGCTTTTTTTCAATCCTTTTAATTTCGCAGAGTCAAAGAGTTTTTTTTTTTAAATTTTATTTAGAAAAAAACCCACCAAAAAATAAACATAAATCAGTAATCTTACGCTTGAAAATGGTAATGGAAATCTATTGCTTCGATTAAGGAAATATTATTATTAAACTTAGGGTTTTGTTTATCTTTCTTCAAAAATTAAAGTTATCAGCAAATGCTTTGGAAACGCGCTTATAGGCACGTGGGGCGTGATCCACCGATCCGGTCTGATAAAGACAGAACATCAAGTCGTACGCGGCGAGAGTACGACATCTGTCGGTACAAACAACGTGGTTTTTCATCTTTAATGCGATCTAGACGTGGAAGAAGATATCGAGGTAATTGGGAAAAAAAGACTTTTTATAATAAAAAAAAAACTTAAGAATTTGAAGATTTACCTGAACGTCGAACTCGATGAAATCAATGGGAAATTTAGCAGCAGAGTTAAAGGAGAGAATGGTGTTTTCTTTAATGGCTTCCATCCTCGAATCAGAGCTTTGCATAATATTCATCCCATGTCCCCTATGCCCTATCACCAGAAACTTCGGTGCCGTAAAAGACGTCGCTTTCCATGTTCATCTCCATCCCTAAATCCCCCCCCCCAAAAAAAACAATCATATAACCCTCCTAAACCCAAAACATGAGAGAAGAAAACCCAGAATGTAATGAACATAAAGAGGAACCGCACGTACCGTCAGAATTGAAACGGGATGAATAGAGAGAGGCGCTGTTTTCCGGGACTTGGTCGAGATTAGGGACATCGGAGACATTGACGGCTTTAAGAGCCATTGTTTGTAATAAATAGGGTTAAAGAACAGCGAGGAGGAAGATGAAGGATTTTGACGAATGTTTTTTGATTGCGCGGAAGAATTGTGTAATGTATATAAGGAGGGAGAAGACGTAAGAAGCATCTAAAAATAGGATTTTAGGATATTCTTTTTGGAGTTTGCAAAGGTCCAAACATATGCCGTCGGATATTCTCCGTTATGAAATTCTCCGTCAGCTTCGGTCTCGAGTCACCAATTACACGTCGACATGTCAACTTATTCCGTTAGGTTTAACGGCGATTGTGTAATATATTTGTTTATTTTTGTTAATTTATCTATTATTAGGAACTTTTATTGACCCAACACTTGGAAACAAATGATAAAATGAATCATAGAAATAGAAACTGCACCGCATTCAATGAATACATCATCAGATAAAAAATAGATAACTAGTGTTTTTCTCCGGTACATATATAATTCGGTATTTTTGATTTATTGTTATTTTTTACACATATACATACATATATATATATCTTTAATAAAAATATATTTTAAGAGATTCATACGTATGACACGGGTCGATATAGATTAATTAAAACGATATCTTGAAATCGAGAGGACAACAAAGGAATATTTTAATTACATACATATAAATATTTTTATATAGAAATATAAATCTTAAATTTAATTAATTAAGTATAACAACTTAATTAGATTATTACAGTTTAATTATGAATATAGTTAGATTAAAAGTAGCTAAAATAGAATAAAGTTGATAAAAATTGTAAAGTTATGGGTTAAACTTAGAATAATTTACTTATTACATGTGAGATTTTTACAGACACGTGGGTCGGTGGATGCCAGTACATAATATTAATTTAAGATGAAAAGTTGGTTGGGGATATTTAAGGGGAGCCGAGGAAAAGGCGCGAAGGGCTAGGGTGATGTGTTTCCACGGCAGACTTGCCTGTCATTGAATCGAGGATAATTTAAAAATGTTGACAATTGTTTGCTTTCGATTTGGGACATGTTTGGGACGTGCAGGTCATCTAATTGATCGGATCAACACAATTTGTTGGATACACATTGCTTTTTATAATCATTTTCAAAGTATTGCTGTATTGGGTACACATGGAAATTACCTGGCTTCTATGTTAAGTACTGACGTATTTAATTTAAGGGTAAAGTATAGTAATGGTCACTATATTTTTCTAAAAATTTCATTTAGGTCCCTTAACTTTTAAAACTTGCAATACAATCCCCCCAAAATTTTGTCCGTTTGTATTATGGTCCCCGACGTTACACTGCCGTTAATACATTTGCAATATGGTCACTGAACTTTTCAGACGCTTGCATTTAGGTCCCCTAACTTTTAAAACTTGCAACACATTCCTCAATTTCATTCTAAACCCCAAATTCCTTTTCGTTCTCAAATTTCATTTTTCACTTCTCTCTTCTAATTTCCAACGTAACTAAGTTTTGTTAGAAATGCAGAGTTGACAAATACAACTAAGTATTATTGTTGAAAGTTACCAATAAAGCTGGAATTATTTTGTATAAATGACATATAATAATTTCTTCGTTTAATCCTTGTGGTTAAAGATTTTCCAACAGATGATCAAATATAATGAAATCTCAAACAACACATTTACCTTTCAGTCTTTTTCGCAACTCGAAAGGTATCATGACTGGGTCAAAAGATGTTCTAAATACACTACCCCTGTCATGATGTCTTTCAAGTTGCGTGCATGCAGAATTGTCTTCTAAAGCTATAATTCAATACAATTCAATTGTAAAATTTCCAAAACATGTAAAAAAAACAATTCGTTCACAATATATCAGTCACATAATCAACATGAACTTATTAAAAAGAATACGAGCTCGCAGGACGCCGAAAACCACATGTCATATCAATACAATTCCCAATAAACTAGTACCATCTGTAACATCCTCCGTGTCGGGTTAGTGATTAATTTGCAAAGTTTCAACATTTGGTGATTAAAGTAGAATAATTATATAGTTTAAATAGTATGGTTAGTAAATATGAGATGGGGTAAGGACCAAATGGTCATTTGCAAGGAATTTCTAATTAAAATAAAATGTTATGGGGTATATGAGAACCACGTGTGATTTTAGGTTCCAGAACCTCCCATTTCTTCTTCCTTCTTCCTCATTTTCTTCTCTTCCTTCTCTCAACGTGTGGCTTGCAATTAAAGGTAAGAAACTGAACTTGGTAGTTTTTTTTGATTGTTAAGATTGAAAATGAAAGTTTGTATGTTATATAGGCTAAAGGAAAGCTTATATGACATTAAAACAACAAGATTAGTGTTTTAGAGATAGATTTGGAAAATGAGTTTTTAGATGAAATTTTGATATGGATGAGTTTTTGATGTTTGAATCAGATTTTTGACCTTGTCAATAAGCTAATTAAGAAGTATGAGGGGTTAGAATTCAAATTAGAACATATTGGAATTTGGGTTGGATTCTTAAATTCTACATGGAGAATTGGATTTCTAGGTTTTAGAGGTATTTAATGGATAATAATTAGTTTAAGTAAGTGTATGAGAGCTAAGAGTAGTAAAGGGATTGAAATATGTATGTTTGAGCTGAATGGGATGATTTCCGAGCTCAAATTAGGATTTCTGGGTTAGGGGAATCGGTACCCATTCAAGGGGAACCGATACCCCCTCAACGAAATGAATTTTCAGAATGCTAGAGGGGAATCGGTACCCCCAGGGGGGGAAACCGATACCCCTCATCGTATATGAAATTCCAGATTGCTTGAGAGGAATCGATACCCCAGGGGGGAACCGATTCCCCCATGAGAAAAGAGAAGAAAGAAAAGAAAGCAAGACTAAGCTAAATTCTTTAAATTAGTAAGCTATTAAAGCTTAATTGCAAGACATAGACATCTGATGATCATCTTAAAAATTATGTTTATGTAGATACCGAGCCTACTCGAGTTCGGGAACAATCTACAAGTAGGATCGATCGAGGAAAAGGCAAAGAAGTATAGGTGAGTGCATATGCATAGCATGAATATAGTAGTATATTCAGTTCTAGACTTGTGATAAGTCTAGATTCCATATTTGACATATGATTACATTCCATATTATGATACATGACATGAATTTGTATTAAATGTATTACATGACATGAATTCATATTATATGTATTACATGACATGAATATGCAGAAAAAGTTATATGCACTATGTGATAAAGGTATGTAAATGATATGCCTATGTGTTAAAGGTATGGAAATACTATGTCTACGCGATATGAACTACGGGAAATGTATAAGCCCATGTTATGTAGATGAGAACTATAGGTATAGTTGGCATGCCAAGGGTAGAGGGTATACTCGGTTCTTTAGGACATATGTATATCCTTTGGAACCTGTGTGAAGTCTTGAAAGACACATACTTGATCCATAGTATATGTATATGATTCTTAAGGAATTCTACGTGGTCCTTATGGACATAATTCTACGGGCACTTCGGTGCAATTCTACGGGCACTTCGGTGCAATCTACGGGGCACTTCGGTGCATTTATACGAGCTGTGGTGACAGCTAGTGCACAACCTCACATTACTCAAATACCTTAGGTTCTCAATATGCTATCATGGGCCAATAAACTTATTAATACAGAATAATGAATGTTACAGTCATACGCTTACAGGTATGGATTGATGAAGTATACTCCATGATTAGTTACATGTTTGCATTCATCTCATATGATCCTGACATTTTCATTATTACATTGCCTTATGATTGTTGCCTCACTAAGTCGATGACTTAGCGTGTGAGTGTTTCACACGTAGGATCCGAGGAAAAATAGAAGAGACAGGTGAAGCAGCTTGACAGTATTACTCCTGCAACCATCAGATCAGAAGCAACTTAATCAGTAGGTCATTTGTTATGTAAATGACAGTTGGCATGTAATTAAAGGGTTAAGTTGTGTATGCTCTGAATATTTTGGTAAACTTATATACAGTATGTATATTATGGTATTTTCTTAATATAAGATCAAATATTTTACTATTATTATTAAGAGTTGTGTTTTAAAGTCAATGTAGTATCTCTGACTCATACGGGTGGGTATGGGTTAGGGGTGTTACATTTAATGGTATCAGAGCTATGGTTTAGCCGATTCTAGGCATAAACCAGAGTCTATGGAGTCTTTAAATGGAATACATGCCAACAAATAGTGAGAACTTCTGATCTGGTATAGTATGAGTATGTTGTTTTGCTAATAGGATAATGTGTTTATTCTTATTAGATGTCCGGACATAATAGCTCCCGAAGTGAAGCGGGAGAAGATAGGCATGCTGAAAGCAGTAATTCACCTGCCCTGGCCAGGCAAGGTGAAGAACAAGCATCTCAAGGAGTGCCTGTACAAGATCAAGATACGTTCTTCAGAACGTTAGACGCTATTCTGACGCGTCTTCAACCTTCTGTTCCACTAACTCCAAGAATTAATGTAGCAAAAGAGTTGAGAAGTTTAGGAGCTCCCGAATTTAAGGGAGAAGCTGAGGAAGGTCCGGTGTCAGCGGATCTTTGGTTGAATGATTTGAAAATCATGTTAGATGGTCTCCACTGTTCCGAAGTGGAGAAATTAGATGGAGCTGTGTCTTTATTAAGGGGTCAGGCTAGGATATGGTGGACGAACGTCACCATGAGGATGTCAACCGACCAGTTGACTTGGTCTTTGTTTTTAGAAGAATTTAAAAGCAAGTATGGAGATCAGTTTATCCGACAAATGAAGCAGGAGTTTATGAATTTGAAGCAGATGAGCCGCTCTGTATATGAGTACGAATGTGAGTTTAATAAGCTGAGCAGGTTTGCAGCTGAACTTGTGCCTACTGAAAAAGATGCTTGCGAGTGGTTCGTGGAGGGCTTGCGCCCTAGACTTAAAGAAATGTTGATAGTATTAAACTTGTCCTCGTTCCAGGAGGTGATCAATCGTGCAAAAGCTCTTGAAAGGGCTCAGAATGAAAGATTTGGGGACTCGAGAGTTCAGACATCAAAGAGGACGACTACTTATTCTGGTTCAACACCAACAAAAAG